ATGATCGGTTTACATGTATAGTTAAGGATTGGAGTGAACAAACTTTCTTTCTCGATACATATTTTTGACATAAAATACAATGATTAGATGTACTTTTCTTTGCTCTATAAAGTGTCTTTATGCATTTTAGATAGAAAAACAACGCATTGAATTACAATTTTTTGTGTCAAACATATTTATGGAAAGACAAAATTCGTTCACTCCAATCTTTAACTATACCTTTACCTCTAGTAGACCAATCCATGAGTCATATCAGTTTATCATCAATGATGAAAATCCAATTCATTATAGTAAAATATGCAGAATAACATGCTCTTTCATACAGTATATATTTTAAAACAGTTTAAGGGAATGGCAAATTTGAATTCTTATCTTGCCCGATCCTTAAGAAAATCTCTAGCTAATCACAACAGTCTCTCGTAGCACGTACATATTCTATGAAAGTGCCGATACCTTAGTGGCTTGTCGATTTATGTTGATATTACCAGAAAGTTCTTGGCAATTACATATTTTTGTTATAGTATTTGCCATAACTTTTGACACTTTCATTGCTGCAGGAATTCGAAACTTGCTGTTTGGCTCTTTCGAATACGACTATAGTATATTGAAGCTTCACGATGATTCTAATCGTCAATATCAAGAAATCAGCGAAAATCAGAATACAATTTGTTTTTTCCCCATTTTTTTGTGGCTATGAGAAGATCAATATACTTTTAAGTCTTAAGCTAAATCTTAATATGTTCAAATATGAATGTATGGCTGCTTTGCAGATTCAACAATATCTTTCGTTAGAAAAAAGCTTGAATCTGTTATGTATGAAAGAATCGACTTCAACCAAAAACAAGGTAAATCCCTCTTAACAATAGAAGACCCTAGATCTTCTATCATGTTTAAGTATATAAAGTTTTCGGAAAGAGTAGAAGTTTCTATTGTGTACCATTTATTTCCATAGCTTTTAGTTAAAAAGATTTTTGTGAAAACCGGAACAATTTTAAGGAGTTGGAAAAATATTTTGAGGATTTTATAAGTTCAAAAGTGATGCTGATGTCGGTCTTTTAAAACATTTCAGCTCAAAACCCTGAAAACAAGGTATATTTTGATGTAAATTTACCAATTAAAGTTCCAACTTTTTGAGAAATCAATTAATTAATTGAGAGGTGCTTTTATTACGTCTATTTCACAACAAGCGAACTTCATTGGTTTCTTTTCATATATAACTGAGAAAGATCTCTCAGAAGTTAGCTTTCTTGGGAAAAGACATATGGTACGTATGAGTTGCTTACCAATCGTTAATTGTACGTTTAAAAAGTATGGCAACCACGGTCAAATCATACGGTAATATAAATGTTATAGCTCCCATGATCAAGAGAGTTTGACATTGCTGAAATTTCAATGAATGCTGAAGAATAATACTCTTCGTCAGACGAACCTGAACATTTACTTAAATACATTTCATATATGTATTGAATAAGGTTTCTTTATTTTAACCTCTCACTTGTCGTATGGAGAGATATTTATTAAATTACAACTTCAATTTGGAATTCAATATTCGAAGTGCATTAGATTCGGGCTGAAAATATAAAAAATTCGTCATATCGAAGTTGAAAGATATTAAAAGAAGCAGAAATTTACATGTATTGTTGTCAATATCTTATATCTCTAAGAACAGTGCATATTGTCAAAACTTAAACCGAAATGTGTCTTCGACCAAAATGTTGGATCCAAAACTTGAAAAAAACGCATACTTCAACAAAAGCATTAGAAGCAGATAATGAGGCCATTAGTTAAGATAATTCAATTATTATTTGCCTCAGCCTGAGGTTGAGTAAACAATTATTGTTGTGATATTTGTGTGTATGATGTTGTACTGTTGATAGAAATCCTAAAAAGAAGGATGTCGATTACTGTTGAAACCGATCTCTTTCAGAAATTTTATTTTTTAAATGCCAAATGATTACAAAATCTATCCAAATGAGCCTTGAGAAAATTACTTATGTAACGTTCGGTTGTGTTCTTTACAACTTGATTGAAATAGCCAACGGACATCACATATGTAGCCAACTCGATTACTGATAATAATCACTCTTTTTTTTATTCATTTCACGAGCGACTAGACTAGAGTACGGGTGTGGAGTGTTTTAATAAAGTTATTTTTGAACGTCAGAACCAAAGTCTACGATTCTAAAATGATGGTACAGTTCTGAATAGTCAAAGACTTAACAATACATAAAGACATAGTATTCATGAAATTCGTTTTTTCTTGATCCAGCTCTGATAGGAGCCAGTTGTGAATGTTTCGACACAAAAATAGCTTTGTAAAAATATTTCAAATGCACTTAAGTGCATCAGACTGATATCTCGAGAATAGTGCCCTTTCTATCTTTTTGATTGGTCAGTGTTTTTGCTCACTGTTTTTATACGATTTTGAAGTGCTTGAAAAATGCTGCTGGTATACGAGACGACTGTTAAATATTTCAATCAGATTATGACCAGCACAAACACGTGCTATATAATTACTCTATTAGAGCTCAATGTCAAACACATTTTGTAACAGCTTCACATAAAAATATCAGTGTTGAAAGAGATCGATTTCAGCAGTAATCGACATCCTTCCCTTATCACTCAATAAATGAATATCACCACAAAATTATGATTATAGTTCTGATTTATTAATCTGAGATTACTTACTTTGTCCTTTGATACTTTGTTGGTACTAACAGGAGAATTTCGTTTGATTTTTTTATTAAATAAAATATTGAACAGGTTTTTCTTCAGTGTACAGTGTGTACAAGAACAATGATCAAAATTTCGAGCTTTACATGTATCTGAATGATTAATTTTTATTTCACCACTGTAATTAATTGTTCCTGTTGTTGTACTATTTGTGTAGAGAAATACAGGACAACATATTTTGTATTAATGTTTTATTCAAATACCAAAAATTTTCGTCGTTCGTTGCTTATTCATTAAATCAATAACATTTTGACGTATTCTGTCGACCATAGTAAGTGATATTGGCAATACTTTAAGCTTATCACCAGTATCGGAATAATAAAATAACGAGTTTGAACGTTCACTAACTTCATTGTTACGATGACAGATATGTATCTTCAGTTCTTGAAGTATATGGATTAGTTAATTTTCTCGGAGAGAGATATGCCCAAGTCCTCAGCAGAAATACTAAGGATATTTCGTTCCCTCTATCTTTCGATGAACGATCTATTTTTTCCTATTTTTTCATTCTTTCTTTCTGCTTCGCATGAGGATGAACGTATAAGCTTATGTATATATTATGCTAACAACTGACAAAAAAGAAAAGGAAAAGAATCATCTTAAATTGCCTGCGATGATGAAAAGACATGAATGATGATGTCTTAATTTAATTTAAATAGAAATTACTAATGTAAAAAGATTTTCTAAATATAAATAAGAGATTTATACGAAATTATCTTGCATATTAGTTTCAGAGAAATATCAACTAAAGAAACCATATATTTTGAAGACTTAATTATTGTTGAAAATAATTTTGTTTTATTGCCTTTTGATCGATTTAAAAAATGCAATTTCCAAAGCAAATAAGACATGTTCACATGCTCTGAAAACATTGTCTACTTTGCGACATTTGAGATGGAAAAAATTTGAATTTTTTGAGCATCTCTAAACATCCAACAAGTTGGGTGCATCTATTATCTACAATGAGGAACATGCTAATTTATAGCATGATCTTCAGTAGTCATTGCTCAGTAACATATGAATATTCTAACTGAAAGCCGTCCAAGTCTCGGGTTTGATACAGAGACAGATCAATTTCAGACTGCACAATATTGGTAAAATTTCATGAAAATGATTCACTGATTGTTTTTTCCGTCGAATTCCTATATTTCAAAGCAAGGATAAAGTTCAACTTTAACTGATTGTTAGTCTCGACCATACACTTTGTTTTTCATGTTGTTTCCTTTAGTATCTTTCAGTTGCTTTCATCAAGCACAGCAATTTCATATTGACTGAATACGATGTTAGTATCTATTGATTTATATGCTTATTAGATAAATTAGTTTATGGAACACATATTGACATATAAACATGGTTCTTTTCGTTTACGTGTGCAATAATGGGTAAAGAAAAAAAGTATTGTTTTTTTTAGAAACCACTATCATAATTGAATATTTTTATTTAGACATAGCTGATCTAGGAGTTTAAAGGCAAATCTTAAAGCATGAACATTAGCTGGCAGTAATTCAGAAAGTTTACATGCTCTCTGATTTGAAATTTATACGTATTCCTATATATATATATATATATATACATTTCTAATGATTCATCAGTTATTTGATCGGAAGTTAATACACCCTCATACAAAGTAGTGAGTAAAAATGATTCAATAAACGAACAACAAAAATAATCATTTCGTTCTTCTTCAAAATAGGAATAAACTTTTGTTACCGATCAGGCATCTCTATCATCTAAAAAGCGGTGTGAGTGTAGATCTTGTTTTCGTAATACCCATAGTCGTTTCAAAACTAAGCTTTTCTTTGTCTGATGGGAAAGTTATTGGATATTGTTTACTATTTGTGAGCTCCTATGTAGAGATTACAATATGAGTGTTGCTATTTTTTTCTCGTTCGTCACAATGTCCTTCGTTAATATTGAGCCTTGTGTCATGAAAGACGAAGAACAGAGAAGAACTTCAGCTATCTGATGCTCGAACTGAAACGTATTCCTTTGCATGTGTGTTTGAGTATATATTTTAAATTTGGCTATTGTCTTCGCTTCTCATCTATATTCCTTCTTTTCGATTTGTTTTGTATTTTTCATCATTTTTTTCATTTATTACACGAATAAATAGCGACTAAGATAAGGTTCCTTGTCGCAATCATTCACGAAAAAGAATCTATTCAGTCATATTGAGATGCAATGTTCTAGACAAGAAAAAGTTTTCATTAGCTCATTTTGTTGTAGATAAATGATCCAATGTTTCGACCCATTTTTTGTCCTTCTTCTTAATCAATTCGCCAATGAACACCTAAATAGACTCGACTCAAGAAGTTTTCGGTTTCTGCTTGTGTAAACGATCGATATCTTCGTGTTCTAGCCGGTCGTGCCCGTCGTGTAATTGAGTCCATAGTTTTGCCATTGTATTCATCCGAATGAAATTCGAATGGAATATCATCTGTTTCATAGAAGCGGCGAAGAACTTCAAAAATAGCCAAACCGAAGGTTGCATGACCAGAAACATAGAAAGAAAATTCTGTAGTGGAGCTATCACTGGCATCGTTTTCTGGTGCTCCCAATGGTAGCCAATTAAGATCGGCCGAATTACCGGATGCTCTTTGTCGAATGCCAACGATAGGACGCCATAAGTTGTAGAAATATTTACTATCCTATGTGGCGATACCAGCATCAGCCATAGAGTAATTGACCAGAGCAAACAATCCTGCATTTGCTTCCATTGTATTATTTTTTTTTTGGATGGCGATCACTCGAACGATTTGATTGTAGAGACGTGAAGGAACATCCAATTTGGATGAGCCATCATAGGTCCCAAAAGATACCAATTTCGGTTTGATCACTAGTTCAATTCGTACTCACTCTTGCTTCGAATGATTTGACTTCGTTGAAATCATTAATATATCGAGTTGAGTTCAAATATACCAGACGAGCAGTAGCTGTTTCATTAATAATATTTGAAGCACGAAATTGTGTTCCTGAATTCAAAAGAAATGGTTTGACATTTTCCCAAGTGACACCTAAAAAGCCCTGGTTCGAATGAGTTGGATCCGGTCGATGATAGCCTGGCTGATTGGTAGATGTGTAGACTGCTCTATCGTCACTTTTATCAATTCTTCGAATTTCTAAAATATATGGTGCAATCAATTGACCAGTAGTAACTCCTTGATTAATTCCAGCATGTAATGTGGTATTCCTTCTAATAATCTTCAAATAGGCGTCACGAACCTCGTCGAAGATTGGCCGCTGTTTTGGATACAAGGCAGATACGATCTGATAGGCACTTTCAATAATAGATGCTGCTATGGCAAACTGTTTTTGACGTTCTTCTGTACTGAGCATTATGGTAGGTTAGAACAGAGGTCTGTAAGCTCGATTGAAAGCATTCATAGAATCATACATGGTACCATGAATAGTGGCCAACGCTCGACTTGTCGCGATGGGTTCAGGTTGATCGGAAGTAATAGCTATCGATGTATCATAATCATTTGCACAGGCTTGTAGTGCAACTAGATTTCAGAAGAGAACAGGATCCATTTGTTTTGATCACAGTTCAGCTAGGAGTTCATTAATTTGTGGCTGCAAAACACTAGCAGCATTTATGCCATCATTGGTAATGCCAAAGCTGAGCAGTACTAAGAATATAATCTGTTTTACGTTGATATTTATTTTTGATTACACGTCGAATGAATAAAATGATGTGATATCCTGCTCTTTATATACATGTGGGGCCGGTGGGTAGTACCAACTTGAGAGATAATTCAAAGGGAAGTCGTCATATTTTCGCTTGATCCATAATTCAAGTTTTTAATATAGATATTTACGCAATTGAATCACAAGCTTAAGTTACAAATGAGTCACATTATTTTTGTTGCAAGGCGAATTTCACGCACAATTGAGTTTTTTTTTCAAGCATAATCAGATTGCCTATTGAAATAAATAAATCATGCGCCAGATTTTTTCCAACAAACCCCAAAACAACTATGGGTCATTGAGCAATTTTTGTTCTAAGTTTCTTGAATGTAAATGCAAATTTTCAACTAAAGAATAGTTTAGATACTTATTAACAAGTTCATAAACAAGAGAAACACATCTATCCTACAGCAACGCTTAGATTTCAAAAATTGTATAAAATTTCGCTTAATTTCTAAAACTTCTCACAGATAGTCAAGAAATCGGTTTTCGCCTTCATCTAGATCTCTCACGCTATTCCACAGAAGAAAATAAAGAAGTAGATACTTGTCAGAGTAGGGATGGAATAACGATGAGTGAAGTACGTCATCACCACTGTCAACCTTGCTTAAGGGTTCCACCACATGATTTTTCTTTATTTTTGACGGTAATACGAGCTGTGTCAATTTATTTAGAATGAAAATGAAAGGGAAATAGGACACGTTACCATATTATTATGGTTACAGTAGAATGAGACACATATTTTTCCGAAGAGAAGAACGTATTGTTGAATAAGCATACAAAATGATGTGAATAGGATAAATCAATAGATCCGTGATATAAATCAATTTGCTATTCCAGTAATGTAATCAAAGTATAGCTAGAGGGAGAGAGCTAAATCCAATGACCGTAGACTTGTGGGGTGGGTGTGGGTATTAATAGAAAGGGCACACAGACACACATCGACAAGCTCACACTTACACCTTTTTTGATTTTAATATTCTAGCCATGGTGATGGAAGAAGTCGCCAAGAATTAGACGTTTCATGAAAAATTTTCGCTACGAAAAAAAATGAGCAAGAAAATACATTACATTAATGACTAGCTAAATTTCTTTTTCACATTTTTATAATGATTAATGCATATTTTAATTGTTTCTAAACGATTTATGATCGACTGAAGGTTGTGCTATATTCATTTTAAGTCAATTAATTGTCAATATCGAATCTCGGTGAAATTCATATCTGACTATGAGTTGTTGCATTGGTCTGGGAGAAAACTGTCAAAAGATTTTGAAAGAGACGTCGAGAATGACTTTTGAAAAAATAATCCAAGTAAAATTGAAGTCCACTATGCATAAGTCGGACAGTATTACTTGGTAAATAGATTGCTTTATTTAAATTATTTTTCTAGTATGAGAAGCAAAAGCAAAAAACTACCCGACTTATCAGGCTCAGAACAATGAAAATTTGAACACTATGTGCAAGATAAAGGAGGGAAAATGTGTTGTTTTTTCATTGACGACATTGAACACGCGTTCATTTCATTTTGATGTTTCCTATATAGTCAAATCGTTAATGTGTTTCATATTGTATATTGAACATCGGGCTTGTCCAAGTCTCGAAGTCTTTCTTATTGTCTTGATTCCCAAAAATTTTGAGTGCACGATACAAGAATCTGTAATTACCAGCTGGTACTTGAATACCCGTGTTGAGAGTTCCATTCCAACTCACATTATAGTACAAAGAATTGTCATTAGTTTTAATAAAATAATTTCGAGAAACCCAATACAATGGATAGTCAGGAATGCTACCGAGTATGTTCATTCCAGCGACATTGATCTGTTTACCACTACCGAGAATATCAACTCGTACGAGCGGCGAACTCATAACGAGCCGCCAATTGATGGTAGGCATGTCAATGCTAACAATGAACGTCTGATTGGCACCAATAGGTTTTGGATTTTCACTGGTATCGGACGAATTCGAGACGTACGGAAATTGATTTTCAAAATCAGTGAGTGTAACACGTTTCATATCGTAACTGACGCCAACATAAGGCAAATGAAAATTTTCCTTTTTGCTATTCTGAATATAAATATAACCAGAGTAAACTGGAATACGTTTGGCTTCGAGACCCGTAGGAGGAGTAAAAGTCACTCTAATGACAGCCGTGCTCTTGCCAGGAATAGTCAATACGTAAGGTGAAATAATCACTTTCACATATTGTGTGATGAGTTCAGGAGGAAACCTTTGAGGCAACGTAGTGTTCATACCCAAATTATAGGCAGTAGCAGCTGCTTTCTGCTTATTTAGAACAGATTAGATAAAGGATAAATAATATGATTTGCAATGACGTTCGTGAATAAGTGTATACGACACAGCCGTTGAGCCAGTGTTTGAAATGGTGAAGTTAACTGTCTTTTTGAAATAGCCAGTATCATTCAAGGTCAGAGTACTTGGACTAATTATAGATGTGTAGTGTACTGCGGCAAATGCATCAACTAAACCACCACCCTGCTGAACAACCGAAGCCAAGTAAGGATAGGTCTGTTTTCCATCGTTGAAAAACAGAGGAGTAGCCGTAGTGGCAAGAATATGTCTGATAGTAAACGAATCGATCTGTGTTCGCGCACCTTTTGCATTCTTGTATAAGGCAATGACACCGGCAATATAAGGTGCTGCCATAGATGTACCAGACAGTATAGCATAGCCGCCCAAATGAAGAGGATAAGTCGACAATATATTTCCACCAGGGGCAGAAACTTCTGGCTTAATGATTAGTTCATTGGTTGGAGACCATGACGAGAAAATACTCATTGTACCGCCAGTAATATTGTTAGGTGAACTGATAGTAGTTATTATCGACTTAGGGGAGAAGTAAAAGTTGATGACTAGACTTTCTTGAAGACGACTGATCCAGTAAGCACCTTGTTCAGCTGAAACCATGGCAGCGAAGACTCCGCTTGGGCTCTGTGGCTTGACCATAGGATTTTCATTATTGTAGATCATAATATATTGAGCACCAAATTTTTGAACATTAGCTATTTTACTCAGAAAAGTACAACTACCTCGACGAATAAGAACAATTTTCTCAGATAATATTGGTGTATCAGCTGGTAACGCAGTGCAAGCATCAGCCGGGTTCGTTATATTATGATCAACAACGTACAATGGATATCCAGAAATATTGTTAGGAAAAGGATTATTTGCAGGAAGGTATTGAAAATTTGTATTAGCTGAAGAGTTTATAGTAAATTGTCCTTCGTACATGATTTGAGGAGTTATTATACTATCAACTGATCCAATAGCAGTGACATCAATGCCGTTTGCTGCAGTCGAAGCGAAGAATAATCCTAATTGAAGTTAATGTGATAATATTCTCAACAAAGATTTTACATTTTTTACCTTCATTGCCATTGTTACCAGCAGAAAAAGTACAAGAAACACCAGCATCGACAATTCTATCTACAACTACTGCTAACGGATCTTCAGTCCATCCAGAAGGACTTCCAAGAGACGCAGTAATAATTTGAGCTAGAGCAAGATGATGATAAAGTTTCATAAAAGGGAAAAGAAAAATATTGAAATTCTCACCACCAGCTTGATAAGCTGCATTAAAGGCAGCAATAACAACATCATTGCTAGATCCACCGCTGCATCCAAAAACTCGATATACACCGAGAGTTGCATTCGGAGCTACGCCGGTAAACGTAGGAGCTATGGCGCTGACGATACCACTTACGTGAGTACCATGTCCTCCGCAGTCGAGTGGATCTGGGTCGGGTACAAACGAGTTACTTCCGTTGTAGTTATCACCGACGAAGTCGTAACCGAATTGAATCTTATATCCCAAACCGAAACCTCCGCCTAATGCAGGATGTCTAAAACAAATTAAATGAGTAGGCATTGATATCTGTATAGGTAGGTTATATTCATACCTGTAGTCAACACCGGTATCCACTACGGCAATAAAGACACCTTCTCCTTTGAATCCTTGAGCATGTAACTTATCTACACCACCCATCACATGAGGAGCAAAGGCATTCTTGTAAGCTGCATTCTCGGTTTCAGTAACAAATTCAGAGAGATCAACAATGTTTTTACCACTAGTAACCGGTCGAGGATAAACGGTGACAGGCCAAATAGAAGCCACAGAACTGAGTGACGAAATAGCAGATATATCTGCAGGATTCTTTAGATGAAAAGAAGCACCAGTAAAGAGGGAAGACGATAAATTCAAACGAGGAGTTACTACAGGATTTTTAGTAGTTATCTCTCGATAGAACAATTCGTGCTATAATACATGAAAGACAATGAGATTTGAATTCGTTATTTCGTATTCATACGTGATCATTTGTTCGCTGACGAGTCAAGCTCGATGAAAATTCCACGATGTAGGCACCGGGAAGATGAAAATGCTTTTCTTTGCTATGTGTTTCGACGAAATTAGTGACAGAAAGGAAAGTAACAACCATCACCAGAAAAAGAAGGAATAATCGACATGATAAGATCATTATTGACGCGGTTTTGCAGATAAATAACGTAAAAACTATTGTGTCAACTATGAGAGAAGATGATGCCTGGAGTTGTCCTAAGAAAAAAAATTTCGTATTCCACTACTTGCGATTTCTTCTATGCAACTGTGAGCACGTTTGGTCAGGCAGCTCTTTGTTTCTTATATTAAACACAGCAAATATAAATATATAAACAAACCAACAAGAGAACACACCTGACAACTCTTTCAGGAAGAGAAAAGAAAAAGCATAGTCGTCATTTATATATGATTGCAGAATATTACATTTTTTTAAAATTATGTGTATATAAATTATTCATGTTAATTAGGCAAAAAATTACTTCACTATTTATAGTAACAATTAATTTTCTTTCTGTAAACTAGTCACAGTTTGCATTCATATTTATATCAAACTTAGTCATTTATCATGTAAGAATATTTCTATTTATAAAACTATCTCCGAACATCATTCATTTCTGCGCTTTTTCTATTCAGCTATATTTAGATACAAATCGATTTCAGTAATGGAAATTTTCTTGAGACGAATGATATCAGAAAGTGTTTTTGGATCCAAAAAAAGTCAGTACAAAACGTCTTTCTCAATCCTGATTCCTCTCTAATGTCTAAGCTGCTTCATTTAGTTTAATAGGGTAACACATCAAGAATTAAAAAATGGCACTTTTTGCATTCTGTTGATATCTGAATGACTTTTTGTTGTTGAAACTTGAACTTCTTTTCAAAAGATGCATTATTGAATATTTATAAAAAAACATAATTTGTCCGATGAAAATAATCATCGTTGTCTGCGAACTACAAAAGTATTCACTGAAATCATCTCGTAGAATGTTCGATTTTTTCACACTTTTTCTTGATGTAAAATTTTTTTTAACGACACATTGACATATGAACTCTCAATATTTAGGCCTTGTACAGGTAGATCTCGCCAATATTATCGAATAAAATATCCCTCAAATAATTATTTCCTCAATTGAAAGAAGGGTCATATGAAATAAAATAAGTCTGTATATTTGCATCAGGTCTCTAATCACATATCTGCGTGCATTGGTGTCATTTTTAAAGTTTGACCAAAGATAATCGTAGTGAAGGGATTCAAGGATTAAAAAATTCTTCAAAATTTTGCGATTGATTTCTTTTGATCAAGGAAAAGTTTTTGCCGAACTCACATATTCTTGAAGAAAATAGTGAGCATGAGTTTAAATCGAGAATTTGCGGCTCCCCTAGGTCTCTATAACAGATTTTAGTAAATTTCTCGTTCTTAAGCCATAGCAACTAGCGCAGGCATCAGTATTAAGATTACTCTGAAAGTCTGTGGATTGTAATTGTTTAGCATAAATATTGATAATTTTCATTTTTTCATGGGGTATGAGTGTGGGTATTCTATTTTGCTTTATTCAAAGTTAAGAAAAAAAGAAAAACTATATATAAAATTTACTTTGCAGGTCATTTCTTAATATGTCTGATGATGGCTTTTAGAAAACAATAAACGTTGAAATAATTATTATAATGAGTATTCCTGAAAATTAAACTATTAGAATTTTTTGTTATCATTATCATAGCAAAGTTTAAAGCTCTAATATCTACTCAAGTTAGAGCATTTCATATTCAACAGTAATTTGTTTTCAAGTTATATTTTTCTATAAAGAAGCAAATAAAAAATAAATGAAAATACAATCACTAAATATGTTTGAAAAAAATCATGAATTAAATCGTTTGTTGTCCAGGTTAAACTTGGGGTACACCAGTAAAAAAATATGGTTGAGAACTTTTGACAAGTAATGTATAACATACATCACATACACGAGATGGTCGATTATTTGGACCAGTATAAACAGTTTTGTTAGTACATTCTTTACATAAAACTTTACCTTAAGAAAAAAAAATATATACATTCAATTATATTACATTAATCAAAACTTACCACAATGACCTAAACAAAAAGGTTAAACAAAATGCAAAATAATATAATTATTTTCTAAAGTAAATCATAACTTACGACAATGATGTTTTCTCCAAGTAACCGAAAATTGTGTATGACATCGTTGACAGTCAGAAAAATCTTCTTCAGGTTGCCAACGTAATTCATTTTCGGAATTTCGAATTTCTTCTAATTGAACCTTGAAAGAAAAATTTTAAAATAAAAGAATTTTATCTTAAACTTACTAACATACTTGAAGTGCTTGAGAAAGTTTAACAAAATCATGTTGAACAGATTCACTATTTTCAAAATCAATTTTTAATTTTTGTATTTGAATACGTAATCCAACATTTTCTTCATTGAGTTTTTCCTAGATAAGAGAAAAATAAACGAATTTTTCTCTTTTAATCAACTCAAAATTCTGTGTCTTTTTTTTTGTTGACCTTTTCAGAACTAATTTCTTCAATTTTTTCTTTAAATCTATTAGTTATTGAATGAACTACTGTTTTTGTTGTTGTTAATTCATTTGTACATTCTTCTAATTGTCTTTCACGATCATTTGTTAAATTTAATAGATGTTCATATTCACTTCGAACACTTTGTAGAACAACTATTCAAGAAAAAAACAACAGTGGAACGAAAATTATAAATATGATGATAAATATTTTCTTTTACCGATTTCATCCTTAGCTGCAGTTAAATCTCTATTAATTAATTGTTCAATTTGTTCTCGTTGACGTATATCAGCATTATAATTATGCTCTAATTGTTCAATATCATGTCGAAGTTTATCTCGAATTTTAATTTGTTCAATTATTTGTTCACGCAATTGAATAATTAAAGTGCAAGCTTCCTAAACGAAAAAGATTTTTGTTTTTCATAATAAATTCTTGTTTATTTACTTCATATGATGTTGGTGATTGTGATGAATAAGTTAATAATTTAATTGTTTCATCATCATTTGTTCTTGCTGCAAGTGAAGAATTTTCGACTTCAAGTCTTTGAATATATAAATGTAATACTTCACGTTCTTTAACAAGTTTTTTTATATGATTAACTTGTTCAGTAAAAACATTTTCATAGTTTAATTTCATTTCACGAAAATCAACATCATTTTTTTCAGCTTTTTTTATTAAACTTGATAACTAAAATTAAATACATATATACATATGTTAGACAACAGAGCTTTTTCACTTCAGAAGATATAACTACGTAGAAAAAGATAATTTCTTAAATTAAGAAATCTTTATCTAATTGTTTATCGATAAGTGTGTGGCAGCTCCATGTCGCCGAACTAAATTAGTGTCGATCATTTACCGCTTCTCACATAAGTGGCGCTGATAGCCTGTTAATTTTATGTGATCTTGGATTTCTATTCTTTTGAATGTATTTATCATAGTCCTATTTTATCTCATGTGTCCGACTCAGTTTACATAATTTAAAATAGAGCCCTCACAAACCAATTAGTTATGATAAACAGAATATTTCATAATCTAGCTTTTAAGAAAACAAAAAATGATCAGTAATTTTATTCAGCTCTTCCAAATCATTCAGCTATCAACTGTCGCATACCTAGTGATGATAGCAAAAGAAAAAACGAATTCTATAGAAAAAACATTAATCCAAACCATCAGCACTGAAGATTTCATATAGAAAAAAAGAATGTTTGGTAAAAACAATTTTAACAGATGCTTCGAAGTAACTAAGAACTTGATTCTCGATACATTGATTACAAATTCAATTTTGGAATTCATATTTAATCAATTGTTATCATGTCTAAAGGTGACAACTCTGGTTTGGCTATTTCACTCTTAATTATACTAAACTGTTTAGAAAAGGTGCTATCATATTAATGAGTTTTTCAACAGAATGCTGTGTTAGCTCTCAGATCAACTTTTGAGTTCAAACTTTACTTAAAATAAAGGTCATAATCGAACTAATTTATTGTGAAAGTGTTAGACTTTCTAATATCTTCTTTCGTGAAATACACGTATAAGACTAATGTGTGTTTTGTTAAATAACGGAATTTTCAATATTAATATCCGAGGACAGAAAATACAAATATCTATGAGTTTCATAATGATTTAGTTCGATTAACAATTTTATTTTTTGCACAATTTATACTCGAAAACCGATCTTAGATGAAACATAGTGTTTTCTGGAAAAGTTCCCGAAAATAGCCATAGTTTAAGAAGAAAACAAAATCATAGAAAAGACTTTTTTAGATCTGTTTTGGTCGTACTAGTGAGATAAGACTCATCTCAAAAGTAATTTATTACTGGTGAATTTTTCACATGAGACTCAAAAGCGAAATTCTCTAGCTGGATTCATCACTTTTGAGTTAAAACAATGTTCATGCTGTTAGCTTATTGCTGCCCTTCTCGTGAACAGTGAAAAAGCTGATTTTTGATTTTAGAAATGAAATGTAGAGTAGAAAAAGATCTTAACGAGAATAGAT